TTGAACCCAGGGTCTCAAGCATTCTCCGGAAGTTCTCTACCATGGAGCTGTATCCCCTTCCTTTTAAAATTTTGAGACAGGGCCTCACTGAGTTGCCCAGGCTGGCCTCAAAACTTATGATCTTCCTGCCTCAGACTCCTGAGTTGACTCAGGGTTTTCAGAGGGAAAAAGACCCTATTAGAGGGGCTGGAGAGATGGCTCAGTGGTCTAAAGCACCTACTTGGAACAAGCTAAGCTAAGCAAAGCACAGGGACCACGGTTTGATCCCCCAGCATCACATGCCAGCCAGCCCCACCCCCTGGTGGGCTGAGCTGGCCACACACACAATAAATAAATGTAATAAATAAATAAATAAACAAACAGCGGAATATATTAAAAAAAAAAAAAAAGAAACTATACTTCTAAAGACCCTAGATGGCTCAGTGGTCTAAAGCACCTACTTAGAACAAGCTAAGCTAAGCAAAGCAAAGCACAGGGACCGCGGTTCAATCCCCCAGCACCACGTGCCAGCCCCGCCCCCTGGTGGGCTGAGCTGACCACACACAAAAAAACCAAATAAATAAACAAATAAAACTTTAAAAAAGACCCTATTTGGTAAACCCTGAAATGCTGGGGCTCTCATTCATTGTCAGCTTGAAATGAAAACTGGCTCCTCTCTGGGGCATGAGGAGAAGCAACTACTAGGACCCAGACACCCCTCCCACATCAGCTGCCCCATGGAGGCACACCCTGAGGAAGGCATCAGTGCACTCACTGAAGGATACGCTCTGTGATGCTCCAAGGCGTGCAGCACACTGTGCCTAATAACCCCAGCTGGAAACTACACTCCACCAACAGGACAGAGGGCAAACTGTGGTGCTCATCACTCCACGGAATCTACAACCACACGCCACATACGTGAGCAAATCTCTCAGACACAATATGGAGTGAAAGAAACAAAACACAAAGGGGAACGTAACATGGTTTCAATGATACACAGTCAATAACAAGCAAACTAATCAATGATACTAGACACCAGGACAAGAGTCCCTCTAGGTAAAGGCTTGTCAGGCATGGGCTACACAAGTGACACCAGCTAGTGAAAACTCACGGACAGTTACACCACAGTACAAGCACTTTCTATATGTATAATTCACTCTAATAAAAAGTTATTTTTAGATTGGCGTGGTGGTGCATACCTGTAATCCTAGCGCTGAGGAAGGCTGAGGGGATGGCTTGTTCCCTAGCTCATCCTTCAAGACTCCAAAATAAGGGCCAGCCAGATAGTTCAGTGGACTAAAGTGCCTGCTTAGGCACAGTACACCAGCCAGGTTGCAATCCCTACATGCCGTGCCAGCCCCAACCCCCCAGGGCGCGTTGAGATGGTGACTGAGACTGGGCATGAGGGCGTGCGCCTGTAATCCTAGCATGTGGGAGGCTGAAAACAAGAGAGTCACTACAAGTTGGATCTACGTAGTGAGACCCTGTACTAAATACAAAAGGAAAAAGAAAAAAAAGACTCCAAAATAACTTCTGTCCCTCCACGCTCTTCCTGCAAACATGGTAGTAGGAATACATGCTTACAGGGGGCCGGGGAGATGGCTCAGTAGGATAAGCGCTTGACTGGCAAATACAAGGATCTGAGTTCAATCCCCAGTTCCGCAAAAAAAAAAAAAAAAAAATGCTTACATTTCTATCTTTTCTACCCAAAAGTGGTGCCTGGTACATGTCTATCCTTACTAGACATGTACAGTGATAGGTTTTGACTGTGTCGCAGCAGAGAAAAAGGCAGAAGGAAAAGGGAAAGGGGCTTTGTTATAAAGGGAAAGGGGCTTCATTATCTCAGAGGACAGGGAGAGAATTTGGGAAGATAAGGAATTCTCTGGATTGGAACAGAGGGAGGCTGAGGCTTTTGTGGCCTTTTGTCAGGGTGGGGCTTGAGGGGGATGTTTAGATAGACCTGAGGAGCTGACTGGGGCCTTCCCTGAGGTGGTGGGAAAGGTGAAAGGAAATGAGTTGGAGAAGAAGGGGGAGGTGGTCTCTGGAAAGATAAGCTGTTGTTTTAAGGGCTTCCGCCATATTGGATGACCACCGTAGTAATGCAGCCATTCATACTAGGGCCAGAACCTATCATGCAGAGAGGAGTGCTCACTTCTTACACCGAATGGGATGCCATTCACATAGGTGTGACCAACCTTTTGATGCTGGACATGCCTGGCTTGCATGGGCAACACTAAATGAAAAATTGTCTTGGGTGGGCTGCATATAAAATACATAAGGGCTGGTGAGATAGCTCAGCAGACTAAGGGGTCACTTAGGCAAGAGCAGGGATAGGAGTTCGATCCCTGGCACCACATGCCCCACTGACCCTGTCCCCAGGCATGCTGAGCCAGTGGCCGAGTCCGGGCATCATGGCAGGCCTGTGATCCCAGCACTGGGGAGGCTAAAAACAGGAGGATCACTATGAGTCCTAGCTGCAAAGTGAGACCCTGTACCAAATACATTAAAAAAAAAAAAAAAAGTAATGTATGTAACAAAACTTCCTTTAATTTAATTAATTAATTTATTTATTTTTTGGCAGAACCAGGAATTGAACTCAGGTCCTTGCGCTTGCCAGGGAAGCGCTTATTCCACTGAGCCATCTCCCCAGCCCCCAAAACTTACTTTTAAAAACATTTTTATCATAACACAGGAGTGGACAACACACAGGCTGCAATTGGACACTCTTGGTAAACATGGGCACAGTAATGTTCTCCTACAGTTCTTTGCTATTTCAAAAGTCTCTGTCACAGATGACCTTGTGCTTAGGTCATTTCTCCCGTGTGAGGCAGGACAAAGTCCCACAAGTGGAGTTGCTGGTAGACAGCACCAAATATATCTTCCACAAGTAACGGGTGACAGGGTCTATTTCCTCAAATTCCCACCAAGAGAAGGTAAACTCTTAGATTTATGTCAGTTTTGTTAAGTTGATAGAAAATGACATCTTGGCATAGGTTTTTTTTTTGTGTGTGTGTGTGGAACTGGAGATTGAACTCAGGTCCTTGCACTTGCCAGGGAAGCGCTTATTCTACTAAGCCATCTCCCAACCCCTTGGCATAATTTTATTTTGCATTTGTCTTATTTGAGTCAGGCCAAGCATCCTCATACACTTGTGGGATCACTCCTGTTTCCTTTCTCGTGAACTTCATATGTCCACTGTCTATACTTCCATTAGGCTGCTGGGTTTTGGTTGCTGATTTCCATATTTTAACAGATACAAAGGCCTTCTCTTACTTCAAGATTACAAAGTCTGGCATGGTGGGGTGCACACCTGTAATCCCAGTACTCAAGAGGCTGAGGCGGGAGGGCTGCAGTGAGTTCAATGCTAGCCTGAACTAAATAGTGATAGCTTGTCTCAAAACAAGTTTACAAAGCAAATCTCCCTGTCCTCATTGCACTTGTGTTTTCATTTCTTACATTTGAATTTCTTCCGAACATAAATGGATGATGTGGCAAACCTTCATGGCTTGTCTACCATTCGAGAACAGCCGTCACCCTCCTCAGCCCACCCCCTGCCTGCTGTGACCACCCCTCCACCACACACAGGACTGGCACAGGACTGTAGCTGGAGAGCACTGCAAGTGCTCAGCCTCAGGCTTTGAAGCTGCTTTTTCCTTCTGCCCACAGGCGCTTCCCCCTTTTCCTTCGAAGCCCTCTCCTCAGAGCTTCTCCACCCCCTCTCTAGCCTAGGGCTCTGTCCTGCTGCTGCACTTAGTACTGGGTCTTCACATCACTTATGCCCATTTGGGGTGACCTGGTCTATCTGAGTGCAGAATACTGTCCATCTCCTCTCCAGACATGACCTTCATCAGGCCTGGACACCTCACTTACAGTATAGAGGCTCCGGCTTCTTTCCTTCCCATATGGGGCCCCTTCATCCCAAAGCACAGCCTGGCACCCACTACTCCATTCCCACATGTGTCACGCCTGACAGTGTCTCACTTGTGACTGAGCCAGTCTAAAGCCCTGAGGTTAGTGCAGGCTTCTGGAGGGACTAAAACCACCCACTGATGCTCAGCGGCAGTTCCTAAGCCCGGTCTGTCCTTCCCATGCACCCCTGGAGGCTAGGAGCTCCCAGCCTCCCAAGCCCCTCCCACTTTATTGTGCAGTCTGGTTTGGGTCCCTGAGATTTCAGCAGCTCCCACACATACAGCTGATGGGTACAGTGGAGTCTCTGAGAAGGACCAAGATGCCCGCTTAACTGCTGTCTACAGGTCGCTAAACTGAGTCCCAGCGAAGCCAGGCCCCTAGGCCCAATCAAGAACACGGCAGTGCTGGTCACAACACTAATGGCAATAATAAAGCCTAGGTCCAGGGGTGCCAACCATGGCCCTGAAATTGTCCTGCATGGACAAAGCATGGTGGGTCCTCTCCCCATGGAACCAATACAGCTCAACAGATTTGCATCATGTGCCAACTATGTAACTTAAAGTTTCCAGCAAAAAGTCAAAAGCTACAGGTGGAATCTCACTTTTTTTTTTTTTTTTGGCGGAACCGGGGTTTAACTCAAGCCCTTGTGCTTACCAGGGAAGCGCTTATTCCACTGAGCCATCTCTCCAACCCCTCTAACATTTTATTTAACCTAATATAATGAAAATATTTCAGAGGGAAAGGAGATGAAAAAAGGAATTACGATGTCTTAATGTATGTGTACCAACTCCACAAAGGAATGTAAGCACTGTGTACTGCAAATGTAATATAATATATATAATTTCAGCAGGGCATCACAGTGGTGCCTGCCTGTAATCCCAGCTACTAGCTATAGCTGAAGCGCCCGGCAGCTAGGGCTACCAAAGCGGCTGTTTTGTTGGACAGCGCAGCTCAGCCAGTCTCTAGCGAGCCCCACAGCTACAGCCGGGACCTGTAGGAACACGCGAGTGGGCGGGGCCAGCGCGGAAGCCCCGCCCCTCGGCAGAGACCGCCAACAGGGCGACGCGGGCTGAGCGCACAGCCGAGTGCCCACCCTCCCGTTGACCACTCACCTCGCCACCGCCTCCACCGAACCAGGAATGGGCACACCGCCGCCCGCGCCGCTGTCGTACAGCACGCCCGAGATGTCGAGCAGCACCCCGCGCACGCCAGCCAGCCGCTCGCTCCACGTAGCCATTGCGCCCCACAGATGCACCCTGGACCCAGGGTCCCAACCCGCAAGGGAGCCCGCGGCCCCGCCTGCCGCGCAGGGGCTCCTGGGAGTTGTAGTTCAGAGGGCAGAGTGGGCGGGTAGAAAACCGGAACTGCCCGAAGTGCTCCGCTGGGTCCCGGAAGTAGTGTTTCGACCAGTAACAGGGTTCTTAGAGGTCGGGAAAGCGATTGACAGGACTTTAGGGAAGAATTCACCTGCCTAAAAATCAGGGCAAAGGCAAACTGAGACGAGAAAACATCCGTAAAAAGAAAAAGAATTAAAGACAACACGCTGTATCCGCGCTTCGCTAGCGTTCTCATTCCTCGGTAGCAGAGCGCTCCACCACTGCGAGCGACAGGATGAGTGGAGCCCCTGGGGGACAGTCCCGTGCCCGGGAAGCCACGCTGAGGAAGTGTGTCCAAAAATGTAAAGTGTCAGGATAAAGCAAGCTGGAAGAAAAGTAAATGTACAAAGACGGGAACTGTTCAAGAAAGCATAGCATGGATACTAAAAGAAGTTAAATGTGATAAAAACAAAGGAAGGAAGACTCGGTAACGTTTAGAAGATGCTCATGTTCTGCCATGTGGAAGAGGAAAGTACGAGCTAGGCGAGATGGTGCACACCAGTAATCTCAGCACCATGAGAGACTCCCGCAGGAGGAACGCAAATCTCAGCCCAGCCTGGGCAAATTAACAAGAATCTGTATCAAAACTTACTATTTAGGGGCCGGGAAGGTGACTCAGTAGAATAAGCGCTTGCCTGGCAAGTGCAGGGGCCTGAGTTCGATCCCCGGTTCTGAAAAAAAAAAAAAAATTATCTGACTGCATCAGGTGGTTTCCCCTTAAACTTACTACTTGGGCCGCGAGGAGATAGCTCAGTAGAATAAACGCTTGCCTGAGGTCCTGAGTTCAATCCCCGGTATTGCAAAAACAAAAACAACCCCAGGGCCAGAGAGATGGCTCAGTGGTCTAAAGCACCTACTTGGAACAAGCTTGGCAAAGCACAGGGACCACGGTTCAATCCTCCAGCACCACATGCCAGCCAGCCCCGCCTCCTGGTGGGCTGAGCTGGCCACACACACACACACACACACACACACACATTAAATGAATAAGTAAAATTTTTTAAAAAACCCAACTTACTAATAGTTTAAAAAAGGGCTGGGATGTAGCTCAATGTGAAGGCTCTAAGTTTAATCCCCACTACTGCTCAATAAATAAATACAACGCAGATAGTGGCCCCACAAAAATAAGGATGTATAAGAACAAGGCTTGAAAGAAAATGAGAATATTCCAATATATTAGGTCACACATCTTTTTAGATTAATTATAAAATTGCATTTAATATTACTTTTTCACAATAAAAATTAATTTCCATGACAACCCCTCTGAACTAATTAATTAAATTGAAACAGGAAAGTTTGACTTCTGTTAACAATTTGGCCTTGAGATTTCAAAGGAAGGGGACAGTTACTATTTTAAGCCCTTCTTTTACAGAAAGAAATTCATCAGCATGTTAGAGCTTTAACTCAGTTTAATGAATTGTGCATATTCTGCTGGTAAACTTACTAGTAGAGCTGCTTCCAAGAGAAAAATTAGTTTCTCCCTTTAGGGTGTTTACATTATACTGTATATAAGGGTTCCTAGTTACAGATGTAGAATCCACTCTAGCTGGATGGTTTTGTTTACACAGGGCATAAAGGAATTTAGGTTTCCAGGAGGGTTAGAGAACCAAACTACTCAGGCACCATGCATTGAAAAGAAATGTGTATTTTCACTGCTGTATTGGGAGTACTGATCCATTTCTTGGCTGCCAAGATGCCAGAGATGTAATAGTACAGCCTACAGCCCAGCTGCCGCAAAAGAACCAATTCTATCCCTATTCATTCATTTCCAATTTATCTATTCATTTCCAATTCTATTTCCTCAGAAGTGTCCTTTCTCCTGTGACCAGAACCTAACATTCTCCATGTCTGGCTTGGCCAAATCTGTTCCAACCTGAAAGGAAATCTGGGAAATGTAGTTTTTAGCCTTCTGTAATACAGTGAGTGAGTCAGTGCATAATCTTCTGGGAACATCATGAAACAATGAGCCCCTACTCTTGTGCAGTAGGTTTTATGGGTGCAAAACGGTCTGAGTGATCTTTGCCTTCAAAGGTCAAAATTGGGTGGAGGACAAAGGTATATGCCCTCAAGATTACTGATCCATGAGCCGGGGAGATGGCTCAGTGGAATAAGCGCTTTCCTAGCAAGTGCAAGGGCCTGAGTTCAATCCCCTAGGCATCAAATGTGTGACACAGAGCCAAGAGGATATTCTTCCTGAACCATGGTGGGGTAGCAGTGGCATCTTAGCAGAGGAGCAGCTTGAAATGGATCTTGAAACAATGGCTGGGCTTCAGCTTCATGCCAAAGAGAAAGAGAAAAGGTGCTTCTGCCAGTGGATGAGCCTACATGTACTCCTTTTGAACCAGCTCTGCATGTGACCTTGGGCAAGTCATTTTCCATCTGTAGGACTATGGTATACAGGATAACGTCTTCTTCAGATAACATTCTAATTTTTCCAGACATGTAAATATGTTATCTTACATGCCAAAAAAGGGACCTTTAAAAAAAAAAAAAAAAAAAGATCCCTGGCAAGCACAAGGGCCTGAGTTCAATCCCCAGTTCCAAAAAAAAAAAAAAAAAGGAAAAAATAGGGACTTTGAAGTTACAATTAAGTCTAACATCTTCCAGAGTGATTGTCTAGGATGAACTAAGTAATCCCAAATAGTAGTCTAGGATAGCCCAAAATAATCCCAAGAATCCTTAGGATAAGCAAGACATATGGGCAAATTAGAAAAGGATATGAGAGAATAGTAGCATAGGAGAGAAGGAGGGAGGATGAGGTAAGGGGAGGGAGGGAGAAAGAGAATTTGAAAATGTTGTATTCATCCTTATAAAAGGGGCCAAGAACCAAGAAAAGCAGGCAGGGGGCTGGTGAGATGGCTCAGTGGTCTAAAGCACCTACTTAGAACAAGCTAAACTAAGCAAAGCACAGGGACCGCGGTTCAATCCCCCAGCACCACATGCCAGCCAGCCCCGCCCCCTGGTGGGCTGAGCTGGCCACACACACAAAATAAATGAATGAATAAATAAATAAATAAGAAAAGCAGGCAGCTTGTTGGAATTGGAAAAGGCAAAGAAATGGCAGTTCTCCAGAGGTTCTAGAATACAGTCTTTCAGACACCATGGTTTTAAGATGTCTGACCTCCAGAACTGTAAAATAATAAATTGTCATTCGGAGCCACTGAATTTGTAGTACTGTATTTATTATAGCAGTGATAGGAATGGAAAACAGTGATCCAGTCGCTCACCTGAAAAATTACATGTTGACTCTTTGTTTAAGACAGTCTCTCTATGTATCGTTCAGGCTGGCATGGACTTGCTATGGAGTCCAGACTGGCCTTGAACTCCCAGCAATCCTCCTGTCTCAGCCTCCTGAGTGCTGAAATTTCAGGTGTGAACCACCATACTGAGTTCTACATGTTGATTCTTAAGTGTGATCCAATGACAAACTGAGACCTGATGCAAAGTCTTTGGATATAATGGACAAAGAGCATTGTTTAAGTTAGGGTCACATTTGGCTGCATGTAACAAAGAAAAGAGAAAATTAGTTTCCCAACCAAATAGAGTTACTTTCCCTCGTATGTTATAAAACCAAGAGGAAGAGAACCCTGAGTGGGTACAGCAGCTCCCAGAACCAGTAGGGAATAGTCTCCTTCCTTCTTTCTATCCCATCACCCTCAACACTACTCTCATCCTCTTAAGGTGCCTGAGGTGTATCCTCTTCTGCCTTCTAGGGAAGAAGTTGAGGAAAACAAAAGCTTCCCCAGACCCTGAATGACTGAGGTAAGAGAATTACAGTTTTGAGCCAATCCTGGGCAACTAAGCAATGTTGTGAAACCCTGTCTCAAAATAGAAAAAGGGCTGGGGGTGTAAGTCAGTGCAAAGGTCATGGGATCAATCCCCAGGACAAAAGAAAAAGGAGAGAAAAAAGAGGGTGGAGGGGAGGGAAGAGTAAAAAAGAAAGAAAGGCCAGTAATCAGTACAAAACCCTGGATTCAGTGTGAAAGAGAAAAAATAAGATAAAACTTCCCCAGAATCCTAATGTAATGGTCTCATCTTTGCATCTTTTGGTCCAAAAACTCATCAAGTGACACATTAATGGTACAGTGTGTAGGGTCATACACTGTACCAACAGAGCTCTGGGCATCTTAATTTTTCACTGACAAATGTACCAAAATCATGTCTAAATTTCAGTTCAAGGAGCTGGGGAGATAGCTCAGTAGAATAAGTGCTTGCCTGGCAAGTGCAAGGGCCTGAGTTCAATCCCCGGTTCCTTGAAAGAATTTT